AGGTACAAACAATGTAAATGTACCCTCAAAGGTATAACAGTGGTTTTAAGGTTAAATGAGTTTTTCCCACGTCAAAAGTACGTCGTTATACCTTTTCATAACCTAATTTTTTAAAACAGAACAACAAAATAAAATGCCTTAGTTAAGGAATAGCCATAACTTAGAAAATATAATTTCAATGGATTATGGTACAATATGTTCCCTGACTGTACCCTTGAGGGTTCCACCCCAGTGACAAAAAAGTTGTTATAATTTTTTAGTATCATTATTATTGTTATTAAAACGTCGTATAACCGTATGTGAGAACACATGGGAATGCGTAATTCATTTTTACGCATGAAACCCGGTGGTTTGGAGCGCTTTGTGTCACTTAACCTACTTCTTTGTTCCACTTCTCTACGAAAACAGCTCATAAACAAAAAAACAGCTGAGCTCTCCAACGCGTGCTGCCCGTCAGCTCCGCCCACTGGGCCGCCCATTACCCCGCCTACGCACGAACTGATTGGTCGACTCTGTTTACGCTGCTCTACCATTGGCTAGACCGTAAATGGCTACCAAGAACAACTCCACGTGAAACCAAGATCCAGCCGGTTCGAACCAGTGCGGCGCGAGACCACAGCGGCTTCCTTTGTGCGCCGAAACTAGCTGTTTTTCGCGAGGAGAGAACAAAAACAATACCGTATTAACATTTACAGGATTGGATTTTGATGTCATTTTTTGTTTTGTTTGAAAAAAAAACCCAAACAAACAAAATATGTGTGTTTACAGTTTGCAACACTTTCCCGAATGTTAGCCTAAATTGCTCACATTGTATTTGATTACACTTCCCACAGAGGGGAGAAAACTCTTATCAGCTGTGATTACAGTCGCGAAAAGTCGCGATGGACCTAATACTATGCGGTATCCTGCGGGAAACGAGCAGCCTTAAAACTGGTCTGAACTGGCCAGAGTAATGAGCAGCGCCTCCGCCTGTAAACCCCCTCCTCCCTCCCCCCGCTCTCTCACAGACTCATCTCCCCCATATGCAGCCTACAGCCGCGGAGATGCAACACACACTCTGTACTTCCTGGTTGAGATAAGCACCCGGCCATTGCTTTGTGTCAATGTTATCGTCGTTTACATACTGCGTTCAGGAAGCACTAACGGTGCGCCTTCAGCGAAGTGCGCTGATGCACAGGCTGTCATGATGGACTTTCATCTAATATGACTGTTTATCCCTGCTTCTGTGAGCTGCTGTGGGAGCCCAGGCTGTAAGAGTTTGACTAAAACGAAGCTGAAGTCAGCTTCCTACTCGAATTTTCCCGTTCCACCTTAAATGGTGCAGCAGAAACGGGTAATTCGATCAAGAAGCTGGCGAATAGGAAGCCAACTTCAGCCTCGTTTGTCTAAAACGGTTTATTTCTCATGGTTCAAATGTATTGATGGTTCAAATGTACCAAGAACGATCATGTTCAAATGCCATATCCAAGCATTAAAGATATCCTCACTATCTCTCCAGCTTGTTTTCAGCATCCCTCTAAGCTGTGTCCAGGTTAACTGTACCAGCGAACAAAGTTGCAGCACAGGGTTCATATAGGGGATCTGACATAAACAGTGTCCTCCCCAAAGCTGCCACTGAAGCGGCGAGGCTCACAGCTCTGTTCACCGGGATGCTCAACGGAGCATACAAGGTTTACAATTTGCTACAACACAATCTACAGTTAATTTTCACCTCGAATGCCAAAGTACTACACAGAAATAAACAGTTATATGTAATGTCATCGTGCATAAGGAGCCGCACAGACTCTTTAACAGGCTAACTTACTGCAGAGCATCCCTATAATGAACAAAAGTCTTACCTGTTTATCACCGCCCTTCAGACTTCTTCTTTTCTGACACTGCAGAGCGTTTGTTGGAGAAAAAAAGGGTTAATCTTCTCCTATCATTATTATTTGGTTTCTTTGTACGAATATATTTCCGAACATCTCAGATTCCTGTTTTTATATTTGCACCCGGTCGCTTCACAAACAAGTCAACTTGGCCATTGGCTGGTTCCTGAGCTAGAGACGAACGCAAGCCAATCAGGACGCGCCGATCATGAATATGTAACGAGACATCATATTTTGTTCCCTGTGTTCCTCGTGAAGCAAGTTTCCCGTGAAACAGCTGTTTACTGCGATCTGAATAGCGTTTCTCAGCTGTCTGCTACTGTGGCACATGTTGCAGTTCGACGGTAAAGTCAGGTCGTCTCAGGCTGTTTTCATCCCACTTATATGTTTATATACACCTATCAACTATCAAAAATAAGTGGGATGAAAACAGCCTGAATGGCAGCTGAATAGCTGCCCATAATTAGATATACTTTAACTCTCATTTAACCTCATATATATATATATATATATATATATATATATATATATATATATATACACACACACACACACCTTAAGACACCAGGCTTAATATAAAAAAAAAACTGTCCATGTTGAAGAACATACACCACCCCACCAGTCCACCAGTAAACACTACAGCTCAAGTGGAAATCCTCACTACCATGCATATATTCATATACATATACTTCCAGTTGCCCTATTGCTCCAAGATCATGGCTAGCCTATTTATAGTGATAAAACTTAAAGGACTATGGTAATACTGCAACCACCAAAGAAAGATTATGTCTAAGAGCACTGTACCAAGGACAACTCTGAAGAAACAAAGGAGCACAGACTTTACAGCAAAACAACTCACACCACACAGTCGGCCTCTGGTGGTGTAAGTGAGTAATTACACAGTAATTACAAGTTAATATTCTGCTCTTATATTAATTTGTGGCTGTCAGTGTTTACCGCCTTCACACTAACAGTACGGGAGTGCAACAAGTCCATAGAATCTGTACTTAAGTGAAATTAAACATATATATATTATATATATATATATATATATGAGCAAAAGAAAACAATATTGATGTTTAAACATACATCAATGTTTTCATAAATGAATTATTTGCTATTTCTTACACTTAGTTTGGTGGTGTGTGGTGCAGTGACTAATGGGCAGTGCTAGTCTCTGACAAAGGTAAATCAGCACAGCAATTTCATTTTACAGTAGAAGGAATTTGGTTAGATGTTTTGACAAAAACAATAAATTGCACAGGAATTTAACTGACTGCTAGAAAAAAAAATCTCCTGGCCTTTGAAATTTGTAATGAATTCCCACAAAAAGGTTTTATGGACTGATGAGTAAAAAGTATATAATTGGGATTTCATAAGAAACAGAACATGCAACTAATGTCTAAGACTGAACTATAGAAAAGTGGAAAAATAGCCTTGCAGATTAGCTGAAACACTGAAAACAAGTCTCTGGAAGCTGCAATAAAGGCAAAGGGCAGACACACTAAATACTAAAAATTTTCATATTATATATTTGTTAAAGATATATTTTCTGCCTTTTTTCCCTGATGCTGAAAAGTATAAAAAAATAACTTGTACTTAATGGCTTTGAGTGGAAATTAAATAAATGAAGGCTGGTGGTTTGCACAATCCAGAACAGTGGTTTAGCACATACATCACTTTTATTCACTTTTCTACATTGAATGCAGTTGATTATGGGACTATAAGTTTAACAGTAAAGTCAACAGGAAACTAATGACTATGCCTTATGAAAAAGATCCATAGAAGTACTACAGAATTTATACAGGGCTCCTATAAGAACCCTGTAGAAAATTCAGACAGTTAATATAATTTACTACAGGGTACTACACAAGTATTATAGTTTACTATAAGACAGTACTACAAACACATTATATGGAGGTGAAAGTATTATAGATTATTGTAGAAGTATTATGCAGCACAATAGAAATATTATTGATTCTGGATGTTATAGTGAGCAATGAACTAAGTCATAGTGAGCTGTTATTATAGTAAACTGTTATAGAGAGCTATGAACCAAAACTGCTAGACGATAGAATCCAGTAATGCATATAGTAAAGAGTACCAGAAGAAGCAGTGCCCCACAGCAAACATCCTTCCTATTTGTAACAGTGGGCAGATTGAGAGGCCGTTAGCTTTAGGGAGTTCATCTTATCAGCTATTCCAACTACTAAAATCAAACTCACATGGCACAGCCTTCCTCTGGAAAGTACAGCACAGTTCTGAAGCTGCAGCTACGCAGAAGATTTCTTTTTCATAAGCACAACAAAACTTAGCTAAGACCAGACCTGTGAGACTGTAGCTTTGGAATGCACCAAAGCTCAAATGAGGTGAGATTTCAGATTAAAAAGGTTAAGGGCCCATATCATGAAAGAGATATGGCTTTAAGGGCCCATATCATGAAAGAAAATCCTTGCTGTTTTGAAATAAAGTTCATAATAAATGTTAAAGTTCCCAAACTGTTCACTTTGCAGTCAGTACAGTCTGTATATGGACACTAAGCTTGCAAAATTCGCATATATCCGCCTATTCAGCCAGCGTCAGTTTAGCCCACTCATTCACTGTGTTGTTATAAGGAATGTTTCAGCCTGGATTGCTTTTTTGAAAGAGACACAATACAGAACAGCCAATCAGAACAGAGGTCATTTACACATATCAATCTTACAGGCACAGTAACATATACAGTCTGTTTAATTCAAAAGGATGAAGAGAGGTTGGGAAATGGTGATGCAAAAACTAATTATGACAGTTTTGGGCACATAAACTCATACAATCATCAAAACTGGACTTTAAGGGAAAAAATAAGAAAAATGTAGGCTATGGGCTCCTTAATATATGTCTTATAGAACATATTGGTTTTATATCTCTAACAAACTTTACTTATAAATATAATAAAGAGAGGCAGCAGTTTGCTCTTAACTAGTCAGGAATCTGATGCTACCAGAAAGAAGCAGTGATTAACACACTTTTGTTTTATGATTACAAACACCCCCACAAACTACCCTCCCAACACACACACACACACAAGCAATTGTTAAGTCAGTACTTTAATGACACATACATTACAAAGGACATTACAGTGCCTTGTTCTATAAATAAATAAATATATTTGTCATTTACTGTAACAGTCAGAATGCTAAACCAGAATAAAACTGTAAAATATTACCATCTGAACTGAATATTGTTTTGCTGAATGTCTGGTAGAAGGTAAAAAGACTGCCTGCATGTCCAGTGCAGGCAAACAGTTTGATCTGGTGGGCTGAAAGGAATGATGGGGAAGGGGAATCATGTTTTTAATACAATCATTTCCTTATAGCGAATTCAATAGGCACATGACCAGGCATGAAAAGGCAGCATTTACTCTTCCTCTCCTCCCTTTGCATGTGATGCACACAACCAGAAGTAGACGGTGAGTCAAGGCATATGCATACCAAGAAAGTACGTGTGCAATTTGTCTATGATGGTAACAGTGTAGAACTCACTTTAAAACAGTGCAAACTATGTAAAATCATTGTGAAAGTAGATGTTATTTCAGCATGACAGACTAGACTGCTGAGCAGGTCAAATTTCTAGATCTGTACATTGTGTTTCTCTATCAGCCTTGATTATGGTCATGGTAAATTTCACATGGTTTCATGGTTGCAAAATTGTAAAAGTCTGCTCTGTCCAATTTGCCTATAGTTAAGGTTAGGGCTAGAATAAATTGTAGAGTTGTACTTGGGAATACTGTTTTGGGAATTGCTGTTCTGTTGGCAAATTCATGTGCATGATCTGATAGGATAAGTTGCCCTTTACTGTTAAAATTCTCCAGAATTTCTATGAAACAAAGTTAAAAAATACTTTCACTACAATGTAACAAAAAGTCTTGATTTGCACATATTCCCTTATATCAATTCACTATCACCACCACAGAAAATGACATACTAAAGTATGTGTCTCAATAACACTAGACCTGGTTGTCAAACACATTGCTGGTTGTGGTTTCAGTAACAGACTTTGATGTCAAGGTTGGATCTGCTCTTTGAAAATTCTTTGAGCCGCTGAACACACTCCTTGGAAAGCTTGTTGTCAAACAACCTGAAACATACAGATAAAATAATAAGATCAGCTTTAATTTGCAGTACATCTGATAAATGAATACAATGTAAAACAGACTTGTTGTTTAAACTGGGTAAAGTGTCTGCATTCAATTTTTAAGTTAACTGAACTCCTAATAGTAAATTAATAGAACAGCATTTGGTATGTTACAGCCTGTTAACATACTTATTGCTAGCTTATAATATGTAACTTGCCATTACTTATATGTTAAATTATGTTATGCAATAAAATCTCAATTTTAAGGACCCCAGGTTAACTTACTTTTTTAACAGACTGAATTATTTTTTACAGTGCAATAATCATTTATTATTACAATAATAACATCTATTATCTGTTATCTATTTTATGATTTATATTAATGCATACTGAACATGGTTTTGTTGTAGTATTTGTATCATGGTAATGTGCTTGGTAAGGCCAAAGATAATTTTCCAGTCCTGGCATTCCAGTAATGGCATTACTCCACTTTTTTTTTCTTATACCAACACTGAAACCTTAAAAAGAAAAATATCAGATACATCTGACACTTTTTCCTACCCGCTATCAGATCTTATAGAATTATATTAGAATTCTATTCTGTTCTATTTTATTATATTTATCATGTAATATTATATTCTATATCTTATACTCCTAACAGGAGTCTGGTCACAAATGGCTCCAACTTACCAGAGGTATTCTAAAGTAGTGTTCTCCATCAGGGCTTCCATCAGGAGTTCTGCTCCTCTGTCTGTCACTAAATTATCTCGAAGCCTAGAAAGTAAAACATTGCACCTGTATAACGTAAATATATCGATCATTTATAAACTACTATACCAACTGCACTACTCCTTACGTTAAGATGGCTTGCAGGATAATCAAAAAGTCAGTCTCTCTTACCTGATATCTCTCAGAGTGCGATTGGTCTTCAATAACTCAGCAAGGCTAGCAGCTCCATCGTCACCAATACGATTGATTGCCATTCTAACAAAATAAATGTGTTGTGTCAAAAACTTTAAACAACACACTCTGTGTGATGACAGTTTAAGCTGCTGGATACATTTGTTTGAGGCGATAGTGGCTGAAAGAGTTTGCTGCTTACCTGAGGTCAAACACTGTGTGGTTGTCTTTAAGTCCCTTTGTTAAATTCTTGAGCCCCTCACAGCCCAGCTCTGTTGATACCACCCTGCCACACACACAATCAGTGAAGAGAAATGTACATTGAACACAAATGTACTGTGCATACTGTACACAGTAAGTGTGTCAGAAATTCTCTCAATCTCAATCCAATGCCTCCTTTGGCATAAATATTGAATTGGATCAGGTTTACTATGTACTGATTCAGCACATAGTGATCCATTAAAACACACCTTGATTGGCTCCAATATGAACTTGAGATTTAATATAGGCAGTCCACTAAACTCATGCCTTGATTGGTATATTAAACCTGATACAGAACTGCATACAGTTTAATATAGCTGACAATAATCTATTAAAATAAACCTTGACTGGCTCTGTTAGCAATCTCTCAGACTGGATGGGAATATTCCTAGAAATAAACATTTCATGATTAACTCACCAAAGCCTTTCGATTTGACAGTCCGGGCTCCGCAGTGCTGCAGATAACACCTCTGCCCCCTCTGGACCAAGAGGATTCTGTGCCACGCTTTGGGGAAAATTATTCAAATGAATACCTAATAAATAAGATAAATATTCTAGATTCTATTCATTCATGACAGACATACAAAACATTTCAGTTCTGAAGTTACCTGAGGGTGGAGAAGAGGGGAAGCACAGGCAGCAGTCTGTGCAGTCCCTCTGCATCCAGCCCCTGAGCATCCAGATTCAGCTGCTGCAGGTCTGGGCTCAGCTGCAGGAGAAAAGCCAGTTCACTCCAGTCCCTGTTCACTGAGTCACACTGACCTGAGGTCTGCTGGGAAAGAACCTTCAGCCAGCGCTGCAGACGCAGAGGTAGCTCTGGGTCCTGAGCCTCATAAAGGCAGTGGCACACGTTCAGCTGCCTCTCTGGACTGAGGCTGGAGCTGTGAAGCTGGGAGCGCAGCAGCTGCAGGACGAAGGGAAAAGGCGTGGAAGGCAAAGGCACACATGAGGGCAATCGAGGTCTGGGCTCACCAGAGAAAAGACCATCCAAGATGAAACGGGTCTTGGGGACTAACAGGCCAGACACAAATCTGCGTGCAGGATGAAAATATGATCAAATGTGACGGTCAGAGTTTATGAAGAATTAGGAACAAAGGCCACAAAAGAAGGGAAATTCCAGTTTCATAAACACTTTCTGTTCAGAACTTCACTCTTGCATCACAGTTTATAGCAGGCATTGCTCTGATACATGGAACAATCTATGCACTAAAAAACTATGTACTCACTACTGAGCAGAATTCAATGAATACTGAGAGTTTTGAAGACTTTTAAAGAGCCAATGTCGTGCATTTTCATGACCATATTACAATAAAAAACTGGTTTGTTATGGTGCCTTTAAGACTGATAAATGAGCTCTGTTCAGAATGATCGCCCAGTATTGTGCTTCGTTCAAAAAGCAGTCCAGGCTGAGACTCCTTATAACTTATAACAGCATGAATGGGCTGATGTAGGCTGAAAAGCTATATATATGTAAATATATTTGTTCGGTTTTGATTGATTTTGAGGGCATCAAGCACTTTAAGACCATAAAAGACATTAAATCATGTTTAGCACAAGTAAGTGCATTTTCTAAAGAGTGTTACATCCCATCTTCTGTTCAATAAACTATGAATTATTCTAAGTTTTAAGATTAATGGACGTCCTAGTCAATTTCAACCTAAATTTAGGGTGACCAGATATTCCAATGACCTGAGGTGCATCCCAGTGTCTGAAGCACTCTCAAATATACATACATATGTCCATTATGACAGTTTACAACTGCTTACTTTATTAAGTTGAGCTAATCAATGATAATAATTACGGTCTAATTGACAAAATGTAAATCAGTGCCCAAATTTATAGATATTTATATGGTTTTATACAAAGTGACGCCTGCTGCAGCTGCATAATCTGTATAAACAAGGGCAGTACAGCTACATATTATTAAAAATAAAAATTACGCAAAATATGAAAATGTGAATGCACATTTGTGTTCAGTGGAATGTCCCAATTTGTATATTCGAAAATCTGGTTATCCCAGCTAAATTGCATACATTAATTTGTTTGTGGTTTATCTAACTGTAGAGTTAATATTAGAATTTCAACATATTACAAATAAGCAGTAAGATGAAGCATCAATAAATATGCTGTACTGTACCTGCAGAAGAGATCCATGTGTCCTGATTGATGACTCTCTCCGCAGTGGAGAGCTTTCTTAACACGTCTGCGTAAGAGATGTTGTGGCTGTCGCAGCTTATTAACAAAAGTCACTAGATGCTTGTGCATTGCTGGAGGCAGCAGGCCCACCGTTGGCTTGAGTCCTGAGAATGGGTCTGAACCTGAGAATGACTCTAACACATAATAAAGTGCAGCTAGGAACTCTTGCACACTGGTATGGATGAAATGGAAGCTCTTTTCGTAGGTGAGTGAAGCTTTGTCCTCTTTAAGGATTTCCACCATGAAAGCTCGTGACAGCTCGCAGCTTTCCAGGGAGAAAGAGTCCAGGTCTGAGAGGTCAAAAAGGAATCGTCTCTCCACCAGGCCTCTGAAGGCCAAAGCTCCTAGACTTCTGAGCTTCACTCTGTTCTCCTTTAGGACACGAGGGGCATCTTGGAGCCTGTTGAGATGCATGCCCTCCACACAACCACCCACATGGAAGACAACGATGGATTTAAGGAAGCAGCAGTAGATTTCAGTGATCGTGACCGGTCTGGAGCAACTTTGAGCAGCTAGGCCATTTGCTACCCACGTATTTGGCTCAGATGAGGATTGATCATAGCATTTATCACCACTTACTGCCTCAGTGCAGCCACTTCTACTTTCTTGCGATGCAGCACCCATTAATGCCATGTCAGAAAAGAGGCAGGAAGTGCCATCGTGCAAAGCAGTGGAGACAATCCAGCAGAAGGCAGGGATGTGACACATGAGCTGAAGGGGTCTGTGGGAAGACACAAAGTTCCATACTGCAACAGCAGCTTGGCTAGAGCTGCAGTTCTGCTCAAAGTACTGCCGCTGCTGAACTGGGGAAAACCCCAACACACTGTAGAACTGCCTGACCAACAGCTGGGGTACTTTGGTGACAGCATGGGGCCGAGAAGTGAGAAGAATGGCAGCGCCTGGCAGAAGGTTGCCCTTGATCAGATTCACCACCAGCGCTCCTACAGACAGCTCCCGCTCAGTGTCTGAACATTTAGGGGTGCGGTCAAAGTCCAAAGGGAAACAGAACTCATCAAGCCCATCCAGGATAAGCAAAATCTGGCTTTGGTTTGAGGTCATTAAGTCTGGCAAGATAGGCTTTAAATTACTATAATGATCAGATATCAGCCCTTGTAGGCTCTGGGGCTCAGTAATCAGGTTTATTTCACGGAAAGACATGGACAAGACGATTTTCTGGGAGTCTGCATCTGCAGCCCACTCTTGCACCAGCTGTCTTACAACTGTGGTTTTGCCACTTCCAGCAACCCCAGAGAGCAGCGTCACACCATCTTTTGAGGCAGAAACCAGGCTTTCATATACATCTCTAAAAGCACAAGTCTCACCCTGCCGCCTAGCCTCACCCCGCCCTGCCCTGAAGGGATCCCCAACCACTGCTGCCTCGTGCTGGTACTGAAGTGGCACAAGGTATCCCACATGCCTTGAAAAAGAAATGTCTGTGAAAGAGTCCACCTCGGCAGGCCTGGAGGCCCGTCTTGCAATGCTGAGGTAATTGGCTGGAGCATGTTGCTTGGCTACAATGTCCTTGTGTTTTTGGAGATGTTCCTTCAGAGTGTTCTGGGGAAACAGGGTGGCTCCACCAATCGCAGACGAAGGCGGAACATTGGACAGCACATACAGAAAGGCTCGACATGCTTCCTCTCCTCTGCCTTGAAGAACATCCAGCAGTGTCCTTAAGCAGTCCCGTTCACCTGTGCACCCTCCACCTCTAATAAAGCTGAGGTCCTCCTCCGTCACCGTTCCCACATTGAAGAGGAGTTCCAGGAGAGGGTCCAGGTGTGTGCTCCAGTTCTCCACAAGCTCCACTCGACGTTTTTGTATCTCTTCACTGCATGGTCCCAAAGCCATCAGGTTTTGTTAGAGGAAATTGACAGTAAACACTAAGCAGGCCAGCCACTGGTGGAGATTCTGTGAAAAACTTCTTCACTTAAGTTGCTGATGAGTTGTTTCTTCTTGTGTCAATATCTGTTGAAAGGCTTCAGCCTACATCTACGGGGCTACTGCTTCTGCTTCAAGACACTTTATACGCTACATTATATTATGCCCTCTTTTGTTCAGTGGTATTGAGATGCTATTGTAACATTATTAGTACAGGCTCAGAACTGATATCAGCCTACTTATCGTAAACAGGTTTTCTCATGGAAATCTCTTCAGTGGTAAACAAAATACCTTTCCTTTCTTTCTCTCCCGCTCAAACCGAAACTTCAGCTGCCAGTCCGAAGTCAGTCTTCTGTCGGAAGCCCCCGACATGAGACCTAAACCGCGAACAGCCGATGTCAAACAAAGAGAAACACCTCAGTATAGGCTATAGATCCAGCGAACCTACATAACTCGAATTCCGCACCTTTTCATGGTTCGACTCGGGCTCAGCAGCTACGCTGTTGTAGTCACATGACCATTGGGCAACAGCGCTGCTGGGAACGTGTCTTTCTCCGCCACTTCCCTAATAGTGCTTCATAGGGTGGTATAGGCAGCGACCTGTAGCCTATAGCCACTCATTTATAAGAAACAGCCTACACAAAAAGGCGCGCAGACCACTTCAACGTGTTTCATTAACTCAAACATTAACCAGCGGGCTTTCATTTACAGAACTGGCAAAGGTTTCATAAACAGTAAAAATGAACATGTCTTAGCTTCCACCCACCAACGGTAGTATGAGTGTGACGTGTGACTGCGCAGGAGGAATATGACACTTTATCTGTTTCAGTATTTATATTCTAATAAATGTCTAATAAATAACGTATTCTTTTTAGTGGCCATATTCTAGTACAATCAATGCGCCAATAACAGACTTTGTATATGTATATCACTCTAACAAACTAGATTTCTTTATTGCTGTATAATACTTCTATAATTAGCTAGAATGTTTTTGCTTCCTATAGTATCCCTGTAGTACTGTCTTATAGTAATTTACAACACGTGTGTACCAACTCTCTGATTTACTATAGGAATCCTGTATAAATTCCTGTAGTATCACTACAGATCTTTTTTTTTTTTATAAAGGACTAAAAGTTAAAAAGATTCAAAGTCTTAAACACTTTAAAGAAGTGCAGCTACTAGAGCAAGGCATGCCACGAGACTGCCTTCCACGAGTTCAAATGTAGTGAACGTTCAATGACCACAAGCATCACTATCAGCTCTATATACTGCCAATCCTAGCCAACCCCCGCATGTATGGAAATGTCTATGCTTTACAGTCATAATAGTCCTTGGTCCTTGGTGTCGTGCTACAATGGGCTGTGCTAGTGTGAGTGCATCACGCACAGCAGTGGTTTTTACACTTAGTGTCCACTTTATTCTAACTGCTTTCCTGGTACACCTAGATGACCATATCTCATCTTCTTTCCATTCACTATTTATTTTAGTCATTCTTTACCATTTATCGGTGTTTCTGATCACAGTGTTACTGATATTTTTCGTTCCAGCTCAACACCCGTGTCTCCTGACATGTCTCACTGAGATGCCGTATATCTGTTTTTAACAATTTTGAGATAAGTTTTTCATAATAATAACAGCTGATATGTAAGGGAAAAATATTTATTTCCCTAGTAGAAGTGGTATTAATATTAATAATATAGCACTGATATTTCTTTTATGTATGAGACCACTTCCAAAAACGCATATCATGAAAAAAGAAAAATTCTCGAAAGTGAACTATGAGACATTTTGCAAAAAAACCTTCATTTGGAGCCCCCACCTCCCACCCCCATTGTGGCTAAACCAGCCTACACTCTTCTAAAAAGGCTTTACACCAGATTTTGGTGAGCATCTGTGGGAATTTGTGCTCATTCAGTTAAAAAAGAAACTTGTGAGGTCAGGCACTGATGTTGGGCAAGAAAGTCTGGCTTGCAATTAACATTCCAATTCATCACAAAGGTGTTCAGTGGAGTTGAGGGCAGGACTCTGTGCAGGGCACTGGAGTTCCTCCACACCAAACTCTTCAAATTATGTCTTTACGTATTTGACTTTGTGCACAGGGACACAGTCATGCTGGAACAGGAAAGGGCCTCCCCCAAACTGCTGCCACAAAGTTGGAAGCATATAATTGCCTAAAATGTCTTTGTATGCTGTAGCATTAACATAACCCTTCACCGGAACTAAGGGGCCTTTGCAAACCCCTGAAAAACAGCCCCAGGCTATTATTCCTCCTCTACCAAACTTTACTACTGAATTATGCATTCTAGCAAGTAGTGCTATCCTGGCATCTGCTAAACCCAGAAACATCTGTCAGACTGCCAGATAGTAAAGCGTGATTGATCACAACAGAAAACACTTCCACTGCTCCAGAGTCCAGTGGTTGCGTGCTTTAGCCAATGCTTGCCATAACACATAGTGATCTTAAGCTTTTGTTCAATTGCCTATGAAACTCATTTCATACAGTTCTTGTACTGATGTTGCTTACAGAGGCAGTTTGGGTGAGATACAACCTGCAGGAATACATACCTGGATGCAACAGAGGACAGGTGATCTTTACACACTATACACTTCAGCACTTGGCAGCTCTGCTCTGTGAGTTTGTGTGGTCTATTGCTTCGTGACTCAGCTGCTGTTGCTCCTAGATGCTTCAATTATAGCACTTAGAGTTGATGGGGCAGAAATCTTACAAACTGACTTGTGGTAAAAGTGGCATCCAATGACAGTGCCACATTCCTCAGTAGGACCCATTCTACTGCTGGTCTTTGTTTATAGAGGTTGCATGGTTATGTGCTGAATGCATTAATTATCCATGTCCACATACTTATAGCAATATAGTGTACCTGATCAGCGGCGGTCCTTTGGTTGGTCTGTTTCATTGGTGGACTGGACAGCAGGTAGCTGACAAATTAAGTGGGCTACAGTCAGTAACTGTAATTCTACAAAGTGCACCTATATGATAAGTTTGCCTGATAAAATGACTCATGAGCGCAGACACAATAATAATAAACTGGCAACTCAGGCTTGAAATCAAATAAAATCTTAGCTAGGCCTACAGTTTTTTATGACCTGTCTTTTCAGTGATATCGACATACTATAGTAATATTAACACTAGATGATGACTTATTATACATTACTTAATATTATAAATAGTAGCCTACTTATTGAAAAATGTATTGAATTTGTCATCTGTCCGAATGTGTCCACCAGATATTTATCCTTTCATCATAAAAAACGTCAACTGCATCAAAACCTAAACCACAACCAACCACATGTAGTGCACTTTCAATAACCTTAAGCTTTCCCATCAGTGCCACCTACTCCAACCTCCGACAATCAGACAGCACCACTACCAACTCCCACATAGGCATGGAAATGTTTAGAAATATATCATGTATCATAATAATTAAGGTCCTTTGATTTAGAAGATATGACAGAACATCTGAAAAATTTGATAAAAATGAGTTTAGGGACATAGAGACTGAGGAGAGACACAAGCTTTATTATGAAATCAGCTTTATTATGCTCAGGTACATTGTCAGTTTGCTTCCAAATAACATTTACTTTTCAGTTTCTTAAATTACACAAAGAGTATAAAACAAAAATCACAAGAGTGAATTATGCTTGTCTATAGGTGCATGGCTTTTCCAAGCAAGAAAAGCAGTAAGAAACGGTTAATCAAGACAGCGTTGGGGGCCTTTTATAACAATAAAAATATATATTTTGTTCTACATTACAGGTGGCACTTATAACAGCATTTTACAGGTGCGTTCTAATAGTGTCATCTTTAAAGCTGCTATAAGAATAACTGGTTTAGGCACTTGCTTAACTTTCTATAGAGACCCTTCTACAATCAATATTTTATGAGAAAAGGCAAGACCAAAGGTTATACTGCATACACAGTACCAGGCTGCCTGTTCTCCTATGAAGTGCATGTCCATTCTGTGCCAATCTGCACTTTTGTTCTTGAAATGGCATATTTATGTGGTTTATGCAGTTATAAAGTAGTGCTTACAATAACATTATCAACATACAGTGCACAAACCTGTCTCAGAGAAATACATTTGCACTTTTTTGTGGACACTTTTCTACCATTTTCTTCTTATAAAAAGCTAACAAAATTACTCACAGCTGCTTGTCTTTAAGTTAACAAATATTATATTTTTTGTAAACTGTGGATTATGCTGTGAAATGGTGTTACATGTATCCAGTGTATTTGAACTGAGACTTAGTAATTACTGTAAATGGAGGAAGCTCTTTCTATGGGCAGAACATGTTGCCTACTATTAGAGACAGTCTTTACACTACCATTGCCTAATCCTCGAAACAATTGTCCATTTAAATTTCAAAAAGAAGCTTTACATTTGCATACATAGGGTAAAGGCACTGATCTGGAGTGAAAAAGAAACTTTGAAAATTTGGTGTAAAGCCTAGTAAATTCTAGGCTTTTCCCTCTCATATCATTGACTTGGATTCATTAAAACCGTCTTATCTCATTCTATCCCTTGATGGCAAATTCTCACATAGCGCTCACATAATGTGATAAGGAGCCACCAATCTTTTCTTCATAATTCTAGCAGGTCATAGTATGTACTCTCAATGTACTTGGCATACACTCACAACAACAAAACAACTTTTTCCTTAACACATTCCCTCAACCTTCTACCAATCTGAATCAATAGGCTGCATCTTGGCCAGTTTCCACCAGTGGGTATATATCTTGACCTGTGTCTCCCTCTCTAAGCAAAACACTAATAACTCCCACTTTTGAATATCTTCTCACTACAATAACTAAAGAGCAAGTGTATGATTCTGGTTTCTGAGTCTGGTTATAAGGTAAAGACTCAGGAAAAGGTAAAGGGAAACAATCTAAATCTACTTACTGCTGACCCTGATTTCCTCACTGACAAGGCTGAGACTTCTTAAGCATCAAATTACTGAATTATTGTTCCCCAAAATAAGCAAGATAAAGACAGAGAGTGCAGAATTATGCACCTGCATTGTTATTTCTTGGCTTCAAAATATAAAATCATAATATTCATATAACAGTATTAAACTCCCAAAAACATATAAACATAAATATCAATTAGTTAGCTGGACTTTCACTATTGGAAGCAAAGCCTTTGGTGCAGCTGGCTGGCATCTTACTGACAGAGTGAGGCTCTGCCTGCAGTTGTATGATTGGTGTGTTGGAGAGCATATCTGGAAGGACATCCTGTGAGGATGCAGGAAGTGATTGGTCATGATGAGTCCATCATCTTGAATTGAGGCGAGGGGCAGTCTGAAAAATATATGATACATGCTTGTTTGGATTTCGTTGATGAACATCTTCCGCCCTCCATTCTTCCTCTATTCTATTTGTTTCCACTATGCGTTTGCCTAATTTAACCCTCAGAGACCATCTGCTGCAAAATTCCAACA